ACAATCCTCCACGAGCGGATACAATCGGTCTCCCAGGTGGCTTTTTTTGCATCCTTGTGTATCTTAGGTAATGTATATAAGATCGGGATTTTGGGGTGTGTGTTGAGTAGAAATTCCGCTGTACTGTAATCCAGCCACTTCGCTGTTAATCCTAATTTTATCCACTCCTGTATTTTACTACTGATCTTAGTTGTGGGATCAAATGTTAATTTTCTGTATGTCTTAGTGTCAGACAATTGTGTAAGAATTTCTTGCTTGTAGTCTGTATAATCTTGCAAGACAATCGCTCCCCCTTTATCCGCCGCTCGAATTACAAGTTGATCATCACCACTTAGATCTTTAAGGGCGATCCTCTCAACCCGGGTTAAGTTGTCTGGTTTCTTCTGTTGTTGAGTAAGTATTGTATCCATATCTGTTTTCAAAATGGTGGAAAATGTTTTGATAGAATTATGTGTATTTTTGGGTTCCCATGTACTCTTCAATTTGAATTGTGAAGCCGGTCTTGGTGTCGCTGTGTTATGTAAAGCTTGCATGCCCAGAGTTCTATTCATCTTGAAAAGTTCGATGTCAATTTTGAATTCATCTGGTTTAGAGGCAGGAACAAATGTGAGTCCTTTGGATAGAACTTGATTGTGAGCACTTGTCAGGATTTTGGATGATAAATTAAAAATGGGATTCATTTCCTCTTGGTTGGTGGTTTTGACCTTGTATTTATAAACCTTGTTCCTTTGTCCTCTTCTAATGACTCTGCGTCTTTTGAACCTCGTCTTGGGCGTGTAAATTTTTTTTTTTTTCTCTTTATTCAGCATGCATACACACATTAACCTGTTCTGGTTAACCTTTGGTTAACCCATTTTCATTCATACTGCTGTCTTTAACATTCCACACTCATATACATTTAAGACCATGTAATCAAACTTTATTTCTTCCTCCTCCATACATGCTTTTAATTTTACTCCGATTGTTTTCTCTTTTAAAACAACTTTGCCATTTCTAGGCAACACTTGGTGGCTGTGCTTTATGTCACTTTTCGGCAGTATGCTTGACAGTCCTCGGTTTGCGGCTCTATTCACAGAGCAGACCGGACAAACAGGGTGCACTTGGTGATTGGGTAAGTTTAACACATTAGATTGTATATATTTGAGATTTTCACATGTCATAGCATCTTGATAAAGACCGCTAGACGGTCGAAACGTTGATTTATATGCGTTTGATTTAATATATTTTTTTGTTTACTAAATCCAATGAGTGCTCTCAATTTGTTCCATTTATATATATATATATATATATATATATATATATATATATATATATATATATATATATATATATATATATATATATATATATATATATATCCATCCATATATCCATCTATATGCGGATATGGGAAAAGCGACCGCACTGAAAGATGACGAAAGCGGAAGTGATGAAAGATCCTTCCTTCAGGTATTGTGTTCCTGACCTTATCCATAGGGTTCGGTACCTCCCTAGTGGTACCCATACTATCACACTCAGAGCCAGAGATACAGGCTCTGAATCAGGTGAGCAGTATATAATATAGATGAAAATTTATCCATACTTACCGTAATTTTCCTTTCCTGGTCATAGGCCATGGCAGCACAACAATGGGTTAGCTCCTCCCTATCCCTAATTAGACAGGAACAGAATTTAAATCAGGGGTATAAATACCCCCTCCCACCAATGGTCCCTTAGTCTTGTTAACAGCAATATCCCAGGGCGGGATCTAAGTGCTGCCATGGCCTATGACCAGGAAAGGAAAATTACGGTAAGTATGGATAAATTTTCATCTTTCCTGGCCATATCCATGGCAGCACAACAATGGGTAATACCCAAGCAATAACCAAGGGAGGGAATAAAGAAACACAGACTCAAGAACATTTTTAAATGCTGGTGTATTAGAAATCACACGTGCAAATAGAAATTAATCAAGAAGAGTTGACTGCGGATAAGACTGATTTGCCAAAAGAGTCTGATTGGCTGGCTTTAACGTCAATCTGGTAATGCTTAATAAACGTGTTTGGAGAAGACCAAGTGGCTGCTTTGCAAATCAGCTCGGGTGACAAATTAGCAGCTGCTGCCCAGGATGAGGAAAGGGACCTCGTGGAGTGAGCCTTGAGCCCCTCCGGAACCTTCATCTTTGAGGCTTGGTAAGCCTGAACGATGGCGGCAACAATCCATCTACTGATGGACATCTTAGAAGCCTGAAGGCCTCTTCTGGGGCCGTTGGGGATAACGAATAGCCTTTGAGAGATCCGCCAGGCTGAAGATCTTTGTAGATAGACAGACAGACATCGAACAAGATCCAATGGAGAAGGCAGAGATTCATCATTCTCAGTAGAAGACTCTGAATGAAGAGCCGGGAGTATTATATCTTCGTTGATGTGAAAAGCTGACACCACTTTAGGACGAAATTCGGGAACAGTTCGCAAAACAACTCTGTCCTTATGAAAAACTGTAAAGGGCTCTTTCGTAGATAAGGCATGGAGTTCAGACACTAGTCTACCTAAGGCTAAGGCCACCAATAGAACCGTCTTAATGGTGAGTACCTGAGGAGAGATGGATTCAAGAGGTTCAAAAGGAGAATTGCTCAGAGCCTTTAATACCAAGGGAAGATCCCATGGTGGAGCGAAGGGCTTGATAGGAGGCTTGATTTTCAAAACTGCTGCCATAAATCTGATCACATCTGAGTTTAAGGCCCATCTCTGGTCCGTAAGGGCCGAAAGAGCTGAAATATGTACCTTCAGGGTATTGTAGCTAAGACCCCTATCAAGACCTGATTGTAGAAATTCAAGGATCTCCTTGGTGGAGATAGACTGAATATTCCTGTGGTTGGATGCAGCCCAGGAGGAAAAAACGTCCCAGATTCTGTAGTAAGTGGAAGATGTAGAGCGTTTCCTTGCTTGCAGTAGAGTTTCAATGACAGAATGGGAAAATCCCTTGCAGTTCAACCTTTCCCTTTCAATTTCCATGCCATCAGCTTGAGGGAGGCAGGGTCTGGATGGAGGACAGGACCCTGATGTAGAAGGGACGGAATATTTGGAAGCTGCCAGGGGTCTGCGCTGCAGAGGCTCAACAACAGAGGAAACCACTGCCTGCGAGGCCAAGAGGGGGCTATGAGGATGATGGATACCTTCTCCTGCCTCAATCGTCTCAGAAGAGGAAAGATGAGGGGCGTAGGAGGAAATGCGTAGCCTAGGTGAAAATCCCAATCGATTGAAAGAGCATCCCTTCCTGATGCTTGGGGATCAATGCTTTTTGAAAATAAGTGCTGCACCTTCCTGTTCTTGTGCGTTGCCATAAGGTCGACTTGTGGCATGCCCCATACTTGAGAAATGTCTTTGAACACCTTGTTTGACAGACTCCATTCTCCTGGATCTAATTCCAATCTGCTCAGGTAATCTGCTATGGAATTCTGGACTCCCGGAAGATGGATCGCTGATAGGCCCGCAAGATGCTTCTGGGAGAAGGACATTAGGGGCTTCATGATGGACATCATTTTCCGACTCCTTGTTCCCCCTTGATGGTTGATGTAGGCAACTACAGTGGAATTGTCTGATCTGATTTTGATCCACTTGAAGCGTATGAGGGGAAGGAAATTCTCTAGAGCCTTTAGAACTGCCAGAAGCTCTAATTGGTTGGAGGGAGTCTCTGTTACTGGAAAGGACCATTTCCCTTGGATAAACTGATCGTGTAGGTGGGCACCCCATCCCCACTGGCTTGCGTCCGTGGTAATAACTGTCCATGTGATGTTCCCCAATGGAAACCCTCTGAACAGGGATTTCTTCTGTAACCACCAAATCAGAGATTGATGGACCTGAGGGGGTATCTTGATAGGCTGAAGTGGACTTTTCGATCTGAATTGAAGGATGAAGTTCTTCTGGAAAATCCTCATCCTCCACTGGGCCCATCTTGTCAGCCCGATGGTGGAGGACATTGATCCCAATAGGCTCATGCATCTTTCTGCTGAGGTCACATTGGATGCCAACATGTCTTTGACTTTGTACATCAACTTCATACCTCTTTCTGGAGACAGTTGCACTGTGCCTGCTAGAGTGTTGAATATGGCCCCCAAATATTTCATCTCCTGAACCGGCTGTAATTGGCTCTTGTTCTCGTTTATCTTCCAACCATGACGGCGTAGAAAACGTAGACAAACCTGTCCATGGGTCTGAAGAGTATCTGTGTCTTCTGCCAAGATGAGGATGTCGTCTAAGTAATGGTAAATGGCTATGCCCTTTTTCCTGAGTTCCGCAATCAAAACAACCAAGACCTTGGAGAATGTTCTTGGAGCTGTGCTGAGACCAAACGGCAGGGCTCGGAATTGAAAATGCCCTTGTTCCACCGCAAACCGAAGGAATTTCTGATGTTCTGGAGCGATGGGGATGTGGAAATAAGCGTCTGCCAAGTCTATAGAAATCATCCATTGGAGTGGAAAGACGACCTTTATGATGGATTGAATAGATTCCATCTTGAACTTTCGGATGAGGAGATGCCGATTCAGCCTGCTTAAGTCTAAGATAGGTCTCCAACCACCTGAAGCTTTTCTGGTGAGAAACAGGTGAGAGTAAAACCCTTGACCTTGTTGTTGCTGAGGAACTGGAATGATGACATTTCCTTCCTGGAGCGTCGAGATGAAATCTTTCAAGGCCTGTCTTTTTGCTGCGTCTCCTGGCCATTTGGTAGTTTGAAAGGAGTAAGCTGGAGGGGTTCTGAAAAATTCTAAACGATATCCCCTTCTTATGATATCCAACACCCATCTGTCTGTGGTGGATAATTCCCATACGTCTTGGAAGAGCAACAGACGTGCCCCCACACCTACTGACTGGGGGGGAAACCAGTCATAAAGATCTGGGGTTCTTGTGGAATGAGGTGCTTCTAGATTTACCGCCTCTGGATGACTGTCCACCTCTCCAAGGCTGGGATCTACCATGCTCTCTTCCTGGTTTGTAAGATCTGGCATCTCGAAAGGAAAAATAGTCTGGATATCTTTTGGATCGAAAGGAACCTCTGGGTTTACGATCCTGCGGGAGAAAAGCTCTTTTGCCTTCAGCTGCTCTTTTAATACATTCATCCACGTTTTTCCCAAACAACATGTCGCCGTGGAAAGGTAAGGCACATAAACTAGATTTAGAAGAGGTATCTGCTATCCAGGACCTTAACCATAGAGCCCTTCTGGCTGAAACGGAGAGGGCCATATTTCTGGCAAAGGCTTTAGCCAGATCCACCGAAGCGTCAGACGTAAAGTCTACTGCAAGCTTTATATCTTTTAGGCTTTCTAGAAGACTGGATCTGCTCCTGCCTCTTTGGATATCTGCCTCTAGATTTTCCATCCAGATCTTTAAAGCTCTGGAAACTGAGGTAAGAGCGACTGCTGGATGGAGGCCTGTGCCTGCAGCCACGTAAGCTTTGGTGAGGTTCAGATCCATTTTCCTATCCATGGGATCTCTGAATGAACCTGCGTCGTCAACTGGTAAAGTAGTGTGTTTGGCCAGTCTTACTATGGCCGCATCTACCTTAGGAGCCGAATCCCAACAGCTGGAGTCTTTTTTCTCAAATGGATAAAGACGAGCAACTCTGCCTTGAGAGGTCAGTTTCTTACGAGTATTAGACCACTCGTCTTCAATCAGTTCCTTAATTGTCTCATGAGCTGGAAACGTAGCTCTCTTTTTCTTCAGATCAGCAAAATATCTACTAGAAGTAGAAGGTTGCTCAGAGGAAATTTCCTTGAGACTCAAGGATTTGCGCACTCTGGCTATTAAATGATCAACTTGAGCAGGCTCCATGAATTCTGGGGCATAAGATTCTTCTTCAGAGGAGGATAGCCCGTCCCTGTAGGAGTCTAAGGACTCATCTGAGGATTCTTCCTGAGAAAACCCCAAGGGTTCAGCGAATCTTGGCCTCTTGTGGGACTTGCCAGCTTCTCTGATGCCCTGGGAGACCGCTTGTTTAATAAACTCCATTATATCTGGAGTAGGGGCAGTAGTGGAAGTGCCTGCGGCTGTAGAGAGGCATTCTGCGCAGAGACGCTTGCCTTCCAGAGGTTTATTGTTGCAGGCTTCGCATCTCTTCTTCATAGGCGACTTGCCTTTGGAAGTTCTGGATGCTTTAATTCCCGTAGAGCTGACATAATAGGGAAATATAATTAAACCATGCACTCTTTTGTTTGGTCTAGATAGAGAGAGGGAAAAATAATGGCTTACCTATAACCTTTGGATTGTTACCTTTGTTTATGAATGGAAGCCTCAGAGTCTGATGAGAAAGATTTGTCCATCTTCCCTGTCATAATATAGGAAGGAATTGAAATATTTATACTCAAAAAAGCATAAAAACTCAATCTGTGAAAAAAGGGAAATGTGCCTTTAAGAAATAAACCCATACCTGAGCAACAGAAACTGGAGGTTTGAAAAATCGAACAAAACTGGAACAAAAGATACTGCAAGAGTTCCCCAGAGTCCAGGCAACCTGAAACAGGTAAGAAAGTTCAAATTTGGCGCCTTTTTAAAGGTGGCGAGTGACGTCACCGATGACGTCACTGCGAACCCGGAAGAACACTCCACGCATGTGCACAATACTCCGCGCATGCGCGGAAGTTCGCAAGACGTGCCCCCTAATCCGCGCATGCGGAGACGCAACAGACGTAGCTACCGGTCCGCGCATGCGCGGAAGAAGCAACGACGTGGTGGCTGGACCGCGCATGCGCGGGGGACCGGGAAAGACGCGCCCACAGTCCGCGCACGCGCAGAGCACCAAGAGGATGCCGGCAAGATAAAGCCCGGTAAATTCAAAATTAAAGGGGAAAAGGGGAGGAAAAAAAAAAAAAATACAAAATCTATGGCACATACAAAGGAGGTGGAAGGGGGAAAACCTGACAGCCATAAGTAAAATAATACACAATAAATGCATTAAAACTTACTGTGCCTGCCAGGTAAAGGTAAGAAGAATCTTCTGTAGATGAGGTTCTTCTGCCACTTCCTGCTACCGCTTGGTTACTGCAGGGAATGTTCCTTACTGGCAATATTTTGCTTGCTACCCCTAGGGTCACTGCAAGTGGCTCCCGGTCACTAAAAGGAGCATCTCCAGGGGGATATCCTTTGCGCAGGGCCACGTACTGGAGACTTCCCAAGGAAGAGAGGCTGAACTCCTTTGAGGCCGAAGGGAAAAACCCTCAGGTAAGCCAAAGAGAAAAGAGTATGTTCAGTCTACAATGACTGGAGTCCTATAGGGATAGGACAGGAAAAAAAAGACTAAGGGACCATTGGTGGGAGGGGGTATTTATACCCCTGATTTTAATTCTGTTCCTGTCTAATTAGGGATAGGGAGGAGCTAACCCACTGTTGTGCTGCTATGGATATGGCCAGGAAATAAATAAATAAATATATATATTTCACCATTTTATCCATATTTATTTGCATATTACACTATGCTTGGCTTCTTCTATTTCTAAAGGACCCAGAAGTGTTTCCATCCATTGTTTGGTTTGTGCTACCTACCAAAACACACCTGACCAAGTGATCTGAGCCTGTCCTGTTAAGGCTCAGCACCAAGTGAGTGGTTCTAAACACCTTCACATTTTTAAATTATTATCTTACAGTACTTCACTATTGTAGATCCATTTTTTATCCCTACCTCTAGGTTTTAATACACCTAAAAAGAGAGGGGGGATTGGAGTTATTCACAAGCATCTCTTTAGCGCTCCACCTTTCGGCTGGTGCTGGTTTTTACCACACAGTCTATTGTCATACTCTGTATTTTTGTGCCAACCAGTGGAAGAATTGCACATTGGTGGTAGCAGCTCACATTAATTTATTTATACATTTCTTCTCTTAAGTGCCTGAGAACACAATCACTTTACATCAAATGTAGAGACTTACCTCTCAGTCTATTCATTTACCTGTCAGAGCACTCTGATTGGATGGCTTAAACCCACCAATTAGAGTACTCTGAGCCTAATTGGTGGGCGGGGCAAGGCTTTATAAGCCTTCCCCCGCCCTGCAGAGCTCAGTCTGCGTGGAGCCCTCCACGGGTGAAGATGGATTATTTTTTTTGTGCTCTTTTTTTATTTTTTAATTGCGTCAGTTATTATGGATTTTTTATTTGGCCTTTTTTGGGGCAGAAAAAAGAAGATTTTAGAAGAAAGAAAACATCGAATGGTAAGTTTTATTTATTTTTTTATTTTTTTACAGGTACTTAGTTAAAGGTCCTCATTATTATTAGGGTGAGGGGGGTAGGTAGGGGGATAATTTTGTTTGGGGGGGGTGGAGTGGGTGACTAGGGGTTTGGGGACCCCTAGTCACCTGGGGCGGTAACATTTTATTTTAGGGCCCCCACCAGCCCGCTCAGGGGTGGGGGCGAGGGGGAGGACAATAGGTCCCCCCCCTTTTGGTATTTAGGGCCCCAACCCACTGCTCAGGGGTGGGGGAGGATATTAGGTCCCCCCGTTATTAGTATTTAGGGTCCCCACCCCACCGCTCAGGGGTGGGGGCAAGGGGGGAGGACATTATGTCCCCCCTTATTTTACTGTAGGGCCCCACCCACCACTCAGGGGTGGGGGCCATGGGGGAGGACATTAGTTCCCCCCTTATTAGTATTTAGGGCCCCCACCCACTGCTCAGGGGTGGGGGCTGGGGAGGGGGAATAGGTTCCTTTAGTTTAAAAGCCCCCACTCAAGCGTCGTGGGTAGGGGCTCGGGAGGGGGGACCCTTTTTTTTTTTTTTAAAACAGTGAGCAGCCACAGGCTACTCACTGTTTCATAGACATGCCCCTACTTGCGGTATAGCGAGTAGCGGCAAAATTTTCTAAAAACAAAGTAATTTTTACTTAGTATTAGTAAATTTGGCTGAAAGAACAATTTAGGTCTTTTAGCCTTTTGGTAGATAACTCCCGAATACCGTGGGAATTAAGGAGTTATCTACTAAGTGCCTGCAAGAGAAGTCTCGAAGTTCCGAAGTGTTGAAGTCCCGAATTGCGGATTTGCCGAACCAAAGTTTTTTTCCATGCACATGCCTACTAACTTTGAACAATTATGGCAACCATGAATTTTATATGCACAGTATATTGCTTATCTCTGAATGCAATATTTTATGTGCATGATATTTGCAATCTATTTCATACACAATCTTTCTATGCAATTGCTAAAAATAATAAAAGTATATGGACATAAGGCTTTTACCTATTTCTCAGTAGTAGTGGCAAAAATGTTAACACTGAAGAGAGAGGCAGGAGAGTGGAGTCATATTTGTTGACTAAATGTGTCTTTGTCACCAAATTTTTTTTATCTAATTTGCTTCTATATAACTACCTGTGTATGTTATGCTCTATCGTCATATAATACACAAGGAAAAGCAGAGGCTACTTTTTCTTGTGTATAGCAGTCAAAATTTGACAATAATCAGAGAGTTTAAGTAAGGTTGTGTTTCAGTTGCAATCAAATTTACCCATCAGTAAAACAAATTCTACAGAAGAGCATATAGCAGACATCATGGGGAGAGAAGCACAAATTGAGAGCACTGCAATATGAAGATCATGCACAAAGAAGAAAAGATAATTATAAAAGAAAGTGGCAAGTCAAACCATTAATATGCATGAGGAAAAAAAGATAAAGAAAAAAAAAAAAATCATGACAGGGCTGCTTAAAGAGAATAAACATGTGCTTCAGGTTGATTAGCTATCTTTGCCTCTACAGCAATGCAAGATTCTTTTTGGCATGCCTTGGAAATAGAAGCTACTCAGAGGGGTATTGCAATGGAAATATCATTACTTAAAACATATCAGAAATCACTTGATGAAGCTGAAGAGCAGATCGATTTGTGAGTATTTTACAAAAATGACAGTATATGATTTTACAACAAATTTAATAAAATGTATCCTTCAATTTTATGGCAGGACAGGAGGCTTCATATTTGCTTTACCGAAACCTTCAGCAGCAAAGAAATAGTTAACAGAACGTTTCAAAACAACCAATCAGAACAAAATAACAGCAGTATAAAACCAGGCAGTAAAAAAAAAAAAAAAAAAAACACTTAGGCAGACCCTCCCACTTCCTCTTTCTTTGCTGCTGCGTCCAGGCAGGGCCGCCATCAGAAAATTTGGGGCCCATGACAAAGCACAAGATCTGGGCCCTCCTCGCGGGCCCGCCCACGCCCTACCTAGTCCGCTCACAATGATGCAGGACTGAATGTGGTGTGTGT